CTAGGTGAGAAGAGCTTTTCTTGGACTACAAATGTTATAATATTTGAAGTTTTATTAGTTTCACATGTGGCCGCTAGAGAGCTTTTTTCGACATTCCGACAGAAATGGTTAATTTTCTCAAAAAATTAAATGCATTGGTATGATTTTCTTCTTCTTTCAAGGCATCATGCAAAACGACATGATATAAGTGCGTTCTAATATTAATTAAAAACAGTTAAATTTAAATAAATCCCTATATTTTGATGGCCATTAGAACTTTGTTCGCGATATTACCCTTGAGCTAATATGAGGGTTTCCTTCAATATATCCCAGTGCGCGGTTAAAATATTCTTCCAATTCTTTGCCGTTGAAACGTAGGCCGAAAACTATCACTGGCTCGTAAGCTCAACACTAATCCGGGAAAAATTCAAAATAAACTGCAGGCATATCAACATCTTGATCATTCGTAAAACGGATTTGGTATGCACAAAAATTGCTCAAAGTAACACGAAACTATCGACAACTATTGACAACTTGACGATTATTTATGTTTTGATTAGGTATTTGTTTTGTTGTACTCCATGGCCTTCTTCTATTGTCTTTTTCGTAAATACCCATAGTGAATATGCATTTAAACAAAAAATATGCCTTTTGTTATTAGCATTGCTTATTTACGTTTTGGCGATATTTTGTAATATTCTCAAAAAGGGTGATTTTTCCCGTATAAAATTTTCTTTGGCCTAAATGTTAGTCTAGGAACAAGATATCGACATGCGGATATCATTTTGATATTTTTTCATAAAAAAAATCATATCAGTGTTTAATTTTTTGGAGAAATTTGACCATTTCTGTCAGAATGTCGAAAAAAGCCATCTAGCGGTCACATGAGAAACTAACAAAACTTCAAATATTATAACATTTTCTGCCCAAGAATAGCTCTTTTTAACCATCCCAAGTTTGTTGAAATCGGCTCAGCTGATTCGAAGATACAGGGTGTGTTATTTACGGAATTCTTTGAATTCTCTCACCACTTTATTTTTAGAGATGCAGCAAAAATTGTCAAACAAAAAAGTTACATTAACCTCGACTTTGAAGATCAGTTTTTTTTTGGGTTAACATAGCGGAATTCACAAAAACAGCACTTTATTAGATTCAAGATTGCAGTTGCGCCCCCTAGCGGCCATTTTAGAAACTTGAAAATATTTCCCAGGTTGTTCTCTTAGTCGTTTTAGTAATAATTTTGCCGCAAGCCTCTACGATGAATATGTTTCCAGATAATGTACCTCGCATTCTTAGCTGGACTCTGTACATACAGTGTGTGCAAACCGTACAACGAGGGAGTATTACTCCTTAACAATAACTATTGAAAAAAAACTTTCTATGGTTTATTATACAGACATATTTTTAAAGTATTTACAATTGGGATTCTCATATCAAAGTTGATTTTTCTTACTTATTCGGATAGACCCTTGTGAGACCCTTTAAAGAACAAGACTGATACAATATACTTATGGGTTAATGGATTGATGAATATTTCGTATACAAAAACATCAATGCTTGACAGTTATGTTGACAGGTGCAGTCGTGAATTTTCTAGCAAAATATTTTAATTTCTTCAATTTTAGCCCAATTCATCCATTTATCGAAACTTTTTAATGACCAATATTTGTCATAAACGCAAAATGTACTTTTCCACAAAAACATTAAATCGAACACCCTGCATATTTTTGCACTATCGGATCCACACTTTCATGAGGTTGTAGGTTTGCTTAAAAACATTGTATACTTGTCTATTTAAACAACTCACAACATCAATGCTAAAATCAGGCTTTTATCAGAAGAACTTAACGCTTTTGTATAACAGCTTCATATCAATATATATACAGGGTTATCCAAATTAAGTGTCCACCATTAGTAACTTTGTTATTAGTGAAAATACAAAGTTGTTTGAATTAGCAAACTAGTAGCATTTTTAACGCTGGTAAAAATGAGAAATAAAAAAAAACAATTGAGAGTCGTTATTTTGATTTTTTTCAGTAAAATAACATTTTTTTAAATGGAAACACCTGTATATTATATTTTTTTCTGTTAAAGCATCAAATTTTAAACAAAAAAGCTTACAATAACTTTTCTCCTAGGTTACGAATTGTTGAAGTTATGGCCTCCAATCTGAAACAATTAAATTGTATCGACAAACTTTATTTTCAACATCAACTTATAATCTTACAAAATACAATAACAATTTTTTTTAAAGAAGATGCTCGAAAACACCACCTTGTTCTTCAATAGATACATTTTTGGGCACGTTTTTCAACTGCTCGAACTGTCTTAAGTATGGTCCTACCATCTATCTGGGTTATCTTTTCCCTAACTGCAGTCTTTAACGCGTCAAGGTTATCGTACCTTCGCTTGTAAATTTGGTTCTTTAAGTAACCCCACAAGAAGTAATCAAGTGGGTTTAGATCTGGTGATCTGGGAGGCCACTGTATTGGGCCATTTGTTCCTATCCACTGATCATTAAAAGTAGTACTTAGAAAATGATAAGTACCTCTGGAGTTGTGGGCAGGTGCGCCATCTTGCTGAAAATGCAGATGATGTCTACTTATAAGATCCAATTCGTCTAAGAAATTAGTCAGAATTTCTGACATAAATTCCACATATCTTTCACCAGTTAGGGTTCCGTCATAAAAGAACGGGCCAACAATTTTTGAACCAATTATACCGCACCAAACGTTGAAACTGAAACGGACTTGTGGGCCTCTTGGATGTACTAACAAAAGATTTTCTCTTGACCAATACTGGTGGTTTTTTCTATTAAACATTCCAGAATTTGAAAAATTTGATTCATCTGTCCATAAAAGGTAACGAAAGTTATTTACATTTTGGCGACAGAAGCTAAGATACCAATGGCAAAAAACAAGTCTTCTCTCTGGATCCCCTGCCAAAAGCGTTTGAACTGGTCGGTACTTATACGGAATAAATTTGTATTTTTTTAAAATCCTTTGAACAGTACCATAACTGAAATTAGAGTCCTTGAGAATATCTGCTATTGAATTCTCACGATAAGCTTCAAAATATCCAATAACTGCAATTTCCGTGGCCTCGCTTATTATGAATTCTTTTTTTGCCCTTGTTTTAGCAAAAACATTTTCGTTGCCCCTAAATTTTCGATAAAGTCTCAGAAAATATCGTTCATGCGGTGGAATGCGAGCGGGATATAATTCACTGTAGTATTCTCTTGCTCTCAAGGAGGATTTTCTGCACACTAAATAGCATTCTAACATATCACACTTTTCTTGGAAACCCCTGTATATTATATTTTTTTCTGTTAAAGCATCAAATTTTAAACAAAAAAGTTCATAATGACTTTTCCGCTAAAGTCAAAAATAAAGTCAAAATAACGATAAATATTTTTAATTATTTGCAGTATTATAATATTAAGACGGCTATGAAAACAACATGGCGTTCGCGATTTGACAGCATTAAGATAAGCGACAAATTGTTAAACTGGACATACTCGCAACTAGAAGGCTTTGGAAAACAATGATAAAATCAAATAATGTCAAACATTAGTGTAAATACTTGTTTATAAGCTTTATTGTGTCATTAATTTAAAGAAAAATGTTCTCCCATGAAGAAAAGTGTGATATGTTAGAATGCTATTTAGTGTGCAGAAAATCCTCCTTGAGAGCAAGAGAATACTACAGTGAATTATATCCCGCTCGCATTCAACCGTATGAACGATATTTTCTGAGACTTTATCGAAAATTTAGGGGCAACGAAAATGTTTTTGCTAAAACAAGGGCAAAAAAAGAATTCATAGTAAGCGAGGCCACGGAAATTGCAGTTATTGGATATTTTGAAGCTTATCGTGAGAATTCAATAGCAGATATTCTCAGGGACTCTAATTTCAGTTATGGTACTGTTCAAAGGATTTTAAAAAAATACAAATTTATTCCATATAAGTACCGACCAGTTCAAACGCTTTTGGCAGGGGATCCAGAGAGAAGACTTGTTTTTTGCCATTGGTATCTTAGCTTCTGTCGCCAAAATGTAAATAACTTTCGTTACCTTTTATGGACAGATGAATCAAATTTTTCAAATTCTGGAATGTTTAATAGAAAAAACCACCATTATTGGTCAAGAGAAAATCTTTTGTTAGTACATCCAAGAGGCCCACAAGTCCGTTTCAGTTTCAACGTTTGGTGCGGTATAATTGGTTCAAAAATTGTTGGCCCGTTCTTTTATGACGGAACCCTAACTGGTGAAAGATATGTGGAATTTATGTCAGAAATTCTGACTAATTTCTTAGACGAATTGGATCTTATAAGTAGACATCATCTGCATTTTCAGCAAGATGGCGCACCTGCCCACAACTCCAGAGGTACTTATCATTTTCTAAGTACTACTTTTAATGATCAGTGGATAGGAACAAATGGCCCAATACAGTGGCCTCCCAGATCACCAGATCTAAACCCACTTGATTACTTCTTGTGGGGTTACTTAAAGAACCAAATTTACAAGCGAAGGTACGATAACCTTGACGCGTTAAAGACTGCAGTTAGGGAAAAGATAACCCAGATAGATGGTAGGACCATACTTAAGACAGTTCGAGCAGTTGAAAAACGTGCCCAAAAATGTATCTATTGAAGAACAAGGTGGTGTTTTCGAGCATCTTCTTTAAAAAAAATTGTTATTGTATTTTGTAAGATTATAAGTTGATGTTGAAAATAAAGTTTGTCGATACAATTTAATTGTTTCAGATTGGAGGCCATAACTTCAACAATTTGTAACCTAGGAGAAAAGTTATTGTAAGCTTTTTTGTTTAAAATTTGATGCTTTAACAGAAAAAAATATAATATACAGGGGTTTCCATTTAAAAAATGTTATTTTACTGAAAAAAATCAAAATAACGACTCTCAATTGTTTTTTTTATTTCTCATTTTTACCAGCGTTAAAAATGCTACTAGTTTGCTAATTCAAACAACTTTGTATTTTCACTAATAACAAAGTTACTAATGGTGGACACTTAATTTGGATAACCCTGTATATATATATATTTTTGAGATTTATGTAAATGTCTTCTATATTTAATATTAGAGAAAATGTTTAAAAATGTACCGTTGATGCTGGACATAAAATGTCTTCGAAAGAGTGTTTGTTTCACACTTTCTACCGTGTGTTCACTTATATTTATAAAAGCTTCTTATATACTCTGCGTCATATCTTCTACATATTGTATGTTCAACATCAACAATCCAAGGGAGATTTAACATTCTCTATAGTCATAAAATAGTTTAAGTTTTCGTTATGTTGACTTATAGGCATCATATTCAGACTTCTCGATAAATATATTCTTATATCAATCTGTAATAATGAAATTACATCACAAGCATTATATTACTTGGTTTCTTAATTGAAGCAAGATTCTATAGACATATTGTCAATAATCATTCATTTCCGTCCATTAGAAAAGAGTCATCGATGAGTTGAACAACATCGAGCATGGATAATGTTTTCGGGACCGCAGCACACCAAATATGTGACTAGAACTCGAGGTTAAGTTTTATCTAGACCTTGCACAAAGTGAGGAGGTTATGTGTAGAAAAATACTTCTTAGCCATAAACAAATAGCCTAGCCTTTTCCCAGCAGCTGCCGCGATTTACGAGATCGGTTCGTGCCAGACCAAGTCCTCGGTGATCTAGACTCCGACTAGCCGAAATTAGTTTTTGTAGCAGTACTAGGAGGATTCTTGTTAGTCAAGTATGTGTTTTGGTAGCTTTAACCTGCACCAAATATTTGCATCTCCAAGCAGTGACAACCGCCAGATCTCTCGTCAGAGAGGAAGTCGCTGCTAGTGTGTTTCTCTCCAGTTCCCCGGCTGGAGATCGGCTTGGTACTCCGAATTACTGCATGTAGAGTGCTGTCCCCAGCAAAGCTGTGGATTGGATTGATCGTACATGTAAGGAGGTTGCTGATATGTAGAAATAATCTCCGAGCAAAAACCGATCGCTGGGATAAACATGAGAACCCATCAATTACGATGGATATCTTGCGGTCAGAGAGGATGTGCAAAGCTTCTGTGGGAGGCCGTAGGATGGAAGTTCGCATAAGAGGGTAGCATGATGTAGCTGATGGAAAGCTTTCATAAAACGACACGAGCCTCACCATTGCATTTCAATTTTGCTATATTCTACTTTCTGTAATTGGTTGGCGCTTATTTTTCGAGTAATCGATCGCTGCAGTTGCTCGTGGGACATACTCTGTCACTACAGTCCACAGTACTTTAAGTTCATACACTAGTAGCTTCCTGCAAATACCTTTGTTTCAGAATCCTTGCTTCCAATTTCTATGAATACATAAAACATAAAAAAAACTTTTTTGAAAAAGTGTTTGAAGTTCTTTGCTTTTGATCATATTTTCGCAGAAAGTTTCGGCCCTCCCTATGGAATTAAGTTATTTTTTATCCCTAAAATGTTGGAACTTATGAATGTATTTTATTGAAAATTGTGGTTTCGAGTACTTCATCAAGTAATACGCTCAGGATAGTGTGGTAAGATCCACTGCATAGTAGTCATCAGCTGTAACAAAAGAATGGATCAGTCAAAGAACAATCATATTATCAGGAGTTATGCTGCTGTTAAGGTATCAGTCAGAATTTATAAAAATGCTTGGGTATTTCAGGTTATTAAATTATCGAAGTAGTCCAGGTCCTTCGGATCTACTTGAAAAATATTCTGATTCGGATTTTTGCAGAATCTTATCCGAAAAGTATCCTCTCTAACGAATCCGCAGGTTGCCGGGCTAAAAATTGCTTAAAAAAATAGTTAAAGTATTTTCTTAGACAAATTAAAAAAATCGCTCCAGCCATTCTGAACAAAAATGTCCTTTAGAAGATGTATCTACAGTTGATTGCTTTCGAGATATAAGTGCAATATTTGAAAATGTGAAAAGCGAACCATTTTTGACCCCGAAACATACGAAAACATTTTAGGTGGTATATTGTTATTGTATACCTTTGTTTTTTAATTGTTATTCAAGTGCGCGCTCAATGTACAGTGTAAGCCATATACCACTGACGTCGTAATGTGCACGAGAGAGAAGGCGATAAGTATGCAATGCAAGTGTTAAAAAGAGCTAGAAGCAAGTCGCTGCCTGGCAATCTGACTGCCGAAGTCACGGACGCCATCGGCGTACTCTTTCTAACATACCTATTGCACGCGTCTCGCGCTTCTCCCTCGTACACATTACGTCAGCTAAATTTCCTGTCTATGCTGTGTGAGTGCGAGAGAGATGTGGATAGCGGCGAGTCATATGCTGCATTTCTCTCGCGCAGAGCATACCGGGTGATTCTCTAAGGTGGCTCACCCCTATAACTTTATTACTGAAGATAGAAAAACGAAATTTGGGGGTTGCGTATTACAGATAGACTACCTTTTTTGGACATATTCACTTGCTTTGACGTTCTTCCGGTTTGACCGGTCATGACTCCAACTTTAGATTTTTAAATGGGACAACCAATATATTTTTACTGATTTCGATCGAGAATGATATTCTGAACTCAATTGTGAATATTTGACAAATACAGTCATTTTTATTTCAATTTTTATTTTTAGATCTAAAATACCATGAATCCTATAAATCGCTTCATTTTTGTTCAAGTAACATGGCAAAAATACGATTCTGAGGCGAACAACCTTACAGTCGTTTGAAAGATTTTTTAAAGCTTACAAACAGTAAATTTTTCAGTTTACTTGATTTTTTCAAATAAAAGGAGTGTGGCTTGTCGGCTTTTTCTAAAAGACCATTTTGTTATGAATAATTTGACACTACACACTCTTATTTCATTTAAACTATTTTTCTGAAAAATCGAAAGTTGGAGTCGTTTCCGGTCAAACCGGAAGTAAGTCAAAGCAAGTGCATATGTCGAAAAATGTAAATTCATCTATAATACGCAACCCTCAAATTTAGTTTTTCTATCTTCAATAACAAAAGAGTTATAGGGGTGAGCCATCTCGGAGAATCACCTGGTATAGGCCAACAAATATGGAGAATTTGTATAAGAAAATCCTACTTTTCTGTGGTAGCGTTGGAATATTACTTCCTTATGATAAGTTTAAACGCGTTTGACTGAAAATTTCGAAAACCATTGATGCTAGATAAACAATAGGGACAATTTTTTAGAGAATCAACTTCTTTATCAAAACACTTTTTTTTGTTCAAAATGGCCTGAAAATCTCAACAACACTTTTGAACTGAGCAATTTCTAAACAAGATTATGCAAAAAATTCGAATCGGAATATTTTCCGAGCAGATGCGAATATACTACCTGGGCTAAAGTTTAAATGAAATCCACTCTCTGGTTTCTCAGAAAATCCCTATAACCTTCACATGTATTATCGGAAACATGTTATTCTCTTTGATTTTTCACAATGAACTTTATAGTCATATTTCTGAAAACTATCATATGAAATTTATTAGGAACTTCCACTTCAAAGTAGGTTTATTTATTTTTCTGTTCTGCTACTGTTTTACAGATGGCGCTGCTAGAATATTTTAGATCCTTTTTTGGGCGCCGGCATATATATGTTGGCTGTCTTCATATAGAATACGTCAATCATAGTGAAACTTAATTGCCGGGATGATGGTTTTCAACAGCATCCAAAATACTAATCATATCAGATTTCTTGGACTTTATAGGAGACTACAACGAAAATTAGCTGAGTAAAGGTGTAAGAAAATCTTGTAAATAAATCTGGAGATATCGAGAATAAATGTCAACGATTCAAATGATGGCACAAGGCAGATTAGAAGAAGAATTTAAATAGAACAGAGCACTTTCAACAGCATGAAGCATATGCTGTGTAGCCGAAGTCCTAGTTTGCATTTGAGATTAAGGATGCTTCTATATGGAGTTCTGTATCTGAAAAAAGTCTTTTGAAATGTGAACTTTTTTATGCTCAATCAGTCGCGTAGGCAGAAATCTAAATACCGGGGCACCGTGACTGCTGAGGGGAACTTAAAGATGCATTGTTAATCGGATTTGTGAACTACTTAACTGGTAAAGATCTGCTCAGATAAACTATTCCACAATATAGACACCATAGGAACTAAGAAGCACCCGTACCAGTTCTCGATGTACGAAGTTCGATAGAGCCAAATGTTAGGGGTTGTCGAAGCTAGAGACTCAATAGTGCTGGAAACACTCATTAAGGAAAAGAAAATAACGCATACCGTCAAAAAGAAAAGGAAATTACAACGTTTATGACATTCGATTCACTGAAACACTCACAATACCCCTCCACAGGACATCATTATTTCGTAAATGCTTCACCTACAACGCAATTATTTTTTACAATGCTCTACCTCGATCCACAAAATTGCTATCATATGATGAACTTAAAAGACATATGAAGAAATTTATTTAGAATAGAAATATAAATTAGTTGATAAAATTTATCTGTCACCCCACAGAAAAATATTTCCAATATAGCATTCCTTTGTTTCGTATGACTGTTACAATTTTATACTTTTAAATCATGAAGAAGAGTTTTTCTTTTTTTGGGGGTTAAGTGGCAGAGTAGCATTATGCTAAACTTCGCCCCCTAAATCAAGACGATTTATTATTATTATTATTATTATTACATTACCCGATCAAAGAAATACACATCTCATGCAGGTTAAAATTCTAGGTAATCAAGGTGTCGACAGAAGAATAATATTCTGGTTAAGGAACCTCAGAGAACGATTCTGTTGCAGTTCCACTCAACGGCTTTGTGCAGTGGCTCCTAAGGTTAAGATATATAATAGCGAACATCCGTAATTGTGTTGAGACATAGCAATAAATACTTGACTTTTTATTGGCTGACCCAACGAATTCAGACTTGGTAGGAGGGACAAGCGAGTAATGTGTAATCGTAATCACTAATCATACTACAAGTCCATCAGGCTTAAGCCGCCAGTTTGACAGTCGTTGACACATCGCATTAATTTCTTTCCCTTACAGTTTTCAGACAACTACCAAAAATGTTGGATATTTTTGTGAACTGCACAAAGCTGTTTAAGCTGAATATAAGCAGATTGTTATTGGTAAGTGTTGATCGGCATAGCGAAAGGGCAGATGCCTCAACGTTGGGTTAACAGGACACCAGAGAGATATTCTTAATTGTTTTCTGCTTCTGCTATTATTCAAACCTGAATCTCAGTCTATGGTTTTCTAACCATATACTTAAAATAACATGCAATGAAAAGCATTGGGAAAAACCAGAATTTGTCATAAATACTGAAAAGGGCCAGCCTTGAGTCTCATCTACTTTCATTTTGAATCAAAAAGTTATTAGGAAAAGGTCTTTAATGTTGCGTTGACTTATTTTTGCGTCACGAAATTTTGTTAAGGAACTTCAGCACTTCTAAAAAACTATTATATTAAATTCATTATGTTGGTCCAATATAATAAAATGTTCAGCTTTGGTTTTAGCCAAAAATTTGCCGCCATTGCTGCTTTTTGATGATGATAATTTTCCGTATTTCAACCTAACAAAATTACGAAGCTGGAATTGTTCATATGCTGTACCATTAATATACTATTACTTTCTTCGCTTTATTTAACTTATCCCTATTTTAACAGAATGATCCATATCGCAACACAGATAGTATTAGTAACTAGGCCACTTTTGACCGTCTTTACCAGGCCCGTAGTACCAACACTGTGCTAGTCCACAATCCGTTTACTGGTAGCTGATTATTTATTGAATCAATCAGAATTAGTAGTGAAGTCTACATAGTACAAATGGCTACTGTAAAATACTTCACAAAGAAAATAATGTATTGCATTGGTATGCAAATATACCCTAAAATATGCACTAAATCTACGTCATTTTGGCGATAAGACAAAGCCTCGCAAACATATACGAGGTCTGTGAATTAGTGATGAGACTGGCAACGTAGCGTTCGTTGTGGCAACAATGAAGGCGCCGGGTTTAGAGGGGAGACAGGGAACATGTGATCCGCCTTCTGTACAAGTTTGAACTCGTTCGAGTTATTTGGTTGTCCGTAGTGATTTTTTTTGTGAAACATCGATTTAAAGCTTCGGTGTGCCTCGGTTTCTACTTCAGACTTGGCCACAGTGCAACGGAAATTCTTGCTAAACAAGCCTACGGAGATAGTGTTTTGTCAAGAGCCTATGTTTTTCGGTGGCTTGAGGCATTTTAGATCACGAAGCGGAACGCCTTTATCTTCAAGAATCGATGAAAATAAGGACAGAATCCGTGATCTTGAGATCATCGCGTCGGTTGATAGTCAGAATTATCATTAGGGAAGGGTTAAATTGACTCACACCAGCGTTCATCAGATCAAGAACAACTGCCCCTTGTCACACAGCAATGTCACGAGTTTTTTGTCAGTAAAAGCATTCCTGTGGCTCCTCAGCCTCCTTACTCTCCTAGTCGCTGTGACTGTTTTTCTTTTCCCGAAGTTGAAAAATAAAAAACTGATTTTGGGACAAACATTCAAACGGCAGTAACGTATCATCTGAAGGCTATTCCAGAATAGGAGCTCCAGAATTGCTATGAGGAGTCTCCAGTGCTGTGTGGCTTCAGAAGGAAGTGATGGTGAAAATATAAAATTGTAGTTATGTTTGTAAAAAAAAATAAAAAACCAGTCTCATCACTTAATTTATATGCATCGTACGCTTGGCTCCTAACCTATCTGAATTCCTGAGATCAAATTTCTAGATTGCCCCTTTTTTAAATCCGCATATTTCTTCCTCGTCTCGTCGAAGGTCGGGTAGGTATGTGGTTTTAAACGAGCTACGGTTCCGTTTTGAGATCTTACTTGATTCTTTATAGTCTGGAGCATCTGTTTCCTCTTCTGTAGATTCTTCCTCTGTGTCGGGTGGGAAAGTGTACACTTTTTCGGTCACCATCGTCTCTGCCTCTCTAGCTGGGAAGGTTATTGGCTGCATAGTGGGGAAAGTGATCGGTGGGAAGGTTATCGGCTCCATAGGCGGGAAAGTTATCGGAGGGAATGTTTCTGACGTTTCAGTTGGCGGAAAGGTCCAAATCAGTTTTGGTGTGGTGATCTTCTTTGGTGGTCTCGGTATCCGTAGAATGCATATTCCTCCTTCACATACTGAAGGTATGGGACATGCGCCGTAACAATTGCCTGGAGATTAACATCAGTGTTACTAAAGTATCTGCATGGCCTATTCTGCGGGATATTGAACCCTATTATCTTTTTTTATTGTAGTGTTTCCTATTTAAGCAAAGTATTATGCTGAGGCTCAGTCCATATTCTCAACAGACAATTTTCAAAAAAATCTTAATATTTTATTCAAAATTGGAAGATGTGTAAGAAATATCTTATAAATGCCCGACTTTACTCGTAGAAGCCGCATAGCCCTTTGATCGCTTTATGGTAGATTTTGTCTTTCGGGAGGAATATTTTGAATAGCTTCTCAAATATTGACCTTCAAGTAGTCTATGGTGCTCTTTTTCGTATTTCGGAAAAAATATTTCTAACAGCTTCTCGATTAGTGAGGCGGCTCAACAGAGTGCTTTAAATTCGACTCTCACTATCGGGATCTCGGAAACTGTAAGAGATACGAAGTCGCTTAAATGAGGTGTATTTAGGTAACTAACAAAAAGCCGCTTAGAAAGTTTCTAAATTCAATGTGCTTCCTGAGAGAAACGGAAAAACCAGAATTTCCCCAAAACCGTTTTTATTATTCACCGACTTTATTTGTAGTTGGATTTTAAAATAAATTTCAGATCAGCATCACCACCTTTTCTCTTCTATAAGATGGCATAATTATGGACGCCATATTGGATTTTTGCGCAGATGAATATCTATTCCGATATTAAAAATGAATGACATACATTGAGAGTGCCAAACCTTACTTATTCCAGAAAAATAAAATTCCTAGGTAGGGTTTCAAATTGTCAAATAATCATTTCTTTCGTATACCAGTCCAGACCTCAAATTGAATAATAATAATAATAATAATAATAATATTTATTTACTCAATGTACAAAGATAACAAACAATATGAGTAAATAAATATAAAATCAAAACAGGCCCAATAGAAGGCATCGCCTGTACATGGACCAATAATTTAAGTTGAAACTGTACGTAGAATGCAAATGACAAAAAAGGACCAAAAATTAGCTACAGTAGATTATGTATTTAGTTGATGTTCGTATTTATGAGTTTATGAATTTTAGTTCTAGATATAGAATGTAGACACTTTTTTCCGTTTGAAACAATTTCCGAAACGTAAATCTTTTAAGTCTTTAGGTATAATTTCATAAAATTTAGGCGCTAAATAGAGATATGATCGCTGCATTATAGATTTATGCGGTTGAGGAACTACTGTGCCACGAATTTTGTATCTGGTATAATGATTATGTTTAATTTTTTGGTCGGTGTTTACAAATTTATGGTAGTGAGTGATACTGTGTAAGAAATAAAGCTGTCTTATATCATACATTCGAACATCTGCATATAATTTTTCAGTGGGATAAAGTTTCGGTTTTTTAAATATCATTTTTAGAATACTTTTTTGAAAAACATCTAAATTATAGATATGTGAGGAACATGCAGCTCCCCATGCTAATATACCATATGTGAGATGAGGCTCAATCAGTGCATGGTATAATGTTTGAAGATATTTTTCTGTCAATATATTCCCAAGGTATTTAATTTTATAGGATACAAATCTAACTTTCTTTAAAATATAATTGACATGGATGTCCCATCGTAAGTGAGGATCCAAGACCACTCCAAGGTATTTTATGTTGGGCACTCTATTAATTTGCATTTTTTGATCATCAATATTGAAGGAGAAATTTGTGTAATATAGTAACAGAGCTTGGAAGACTGAGAAGAAGATAAATCGAGCAGTAAATGTACAGAGTAGAATCTGCCTACAAAATAACCGACATCATTTTGAACATCTGCTATCATTTATCATTGCTTATTTATGATTATTATTGTTAATCCATGGCCAACTAAGAAAAAATGTATCACTGAATTTAAGACTGAAAAGACTATTTAAATATTAAATTAAATTAAATTTCAACATAACCTAGGGTTCATATGAAAAGAAAAACAAAAGTGTGTGGTGGAAGTCGAAAGAGGTAAAATCGAATAAGAAATTTGACTAACATCTTGTAGACGAAAATGACAATAACAACATACAATTTATTTTGAAGTCTCATCTCAAATAAGGCCAGGAAAAAATAAAAATGATTTTGGGATAAATCTGTCACGCAACTGTCTATGACAAATGACTGTCTAATAATTCTAAGGCCTAACTAGGAAATTCTGTTTTTTTAAATAACTATGGTTTACCAATGTCAGCGTATGTCGTATTATACATTTTTGGGATCAGAATTAAAAACTTTATTCATCTGTGCAAAAATCCAATGTGGCGTCCTTAATAAAAAATTTAAGTTGATGCTGGAGGACAAGAGACAAAACACCATATTGAAATTCTAATTATGCCTTCTTATAGAGGAGAAAAAGTGGCAATGTTAAAGTGTAATTTTTTGAAATCCCACTACAAATAAAGACAGGAAAAAATTGAAACGTTTTTGGGCAAATTCGGTTTCTGCCGTCTCTCCCACGACTTACTTTGAGCTTAGACAATTTCTAAAGGGCATTTGTTAAATACCTAAATACGCAACATTGCCTCGATTCAATCGACTTTGCCGGTTCCGAGATCGCAGTGGTGAGGTTCGAATTTGAAACACCTGGTATAGTGCTTAGTTTGTAGGCATTGGGGTATATGCTCCTGAATAAATTATGATACAAAATTTTATAATTTATATTTCTTGTGGAAACTGTGTGTACAGAGACTTAGGTATTTTGAGAGAATTGTAAGTTGCAGATGAATGAATGAATGAATAACGAAAGTACAGGAATACCGGTCACCTTGAGGAGCCGGCGCATAGGCTGCATAAACGAGCTCTTATGCACTCCTACATTCCCTAAGCTTCAAGCTCCGCCCTTCTAGCAAAGTTGAGTATAGCTCTGAGTCCCAGCTCCACAGGATTGGAGCCCAGTATAGTTTGCCTGTAGTAGCTCAGAGCCTCACAGCGACACAGAACATACTCCTGATTCTTTCTCCACTCCTCAGCGCTCACACATGGGATCCTCAGCCACTTCCATCACATGCAGGTGGCGCCTCATCGTGTTATGACCAGACACCAGTTCCACCAACAACCCGAGGTCGACTCTATTCGAAGATAAGCAAAGGCGTCACACTAAGACGAACTCCCGTGATTGATGGTAGAGATGCTTTTGCGGATTGCAGATATTTGTCTGAGACCCACTGCTCCATTTTCCTCCTGACTCTTTGCGCGGGCACCCTTAGGGCTGTCTGAGCACCAACAAGCTTGTTCGCTGACCCTGATTTCGCAAGAGCGTCCGCCATATCATTGCCCTCTATCCCAGCGTGCCCCGGTATCCACACTAACGATACCAGACGACTTGTTGCTAGACTATTCAGAGCCTCCCAGCGTTGCAATACAAGGCTGGAATAATCTTGCAGGCATTTAGTGTTTTCACCGCAGCCTGGCGGTAGAAGAATATCGTTATTCTTCTCCTAGGCTCTTCCTCATCCAAAATCCGGGATGCAAGCCACAATGGCATAGATTTCCACCTGAAGGCAGACACAGCCTAGTTCAAGCACCAACGATTCCGGCGCCACAGCCCTCTTCAGTAATCGAGCCGTCCGTGTACCAGACCTGCCCACTCCCTTCGGACACCTTCCGGCTTCCGGAGTCCCACTCCTCCCTCGCCCGACACAGTCGATGTGTGACTACTCTCGCCTCTCCGCGGGTCACTAGATCCAACAGTAGGAGATCCAGCAGAGCTTCCATTGCACTTAATGGCGTTGTCCGCACAAAAGAATAAAAAAATCGGTGATATAATTGCAAGTGTAATGGCAGCAACCGATCTTTATAAAATAGTTTTCACAAAATCTCGTGACTGTCCTGAGGTGCATCATGCATTCGAGCGCAATCCGTGGAGCCGAGGAGTATATCTTACGAATCTAATCAAGGAGATCCGTTGCAAAATATGTTTGAATGAAACATGTGGACTACTTGTAGTTTTATTGAAGCGTCTTCAGTAGGTGATTCTATTTAAATTTTTGCCTTTACCTCAGTGCAGGACAAATGCGAACAAAATTTAACAACATTGAAAATGATTTTCAAAAAAAGTTGGAAATACTTACCTTCGGCAAAGCAAAATTCCAGACAGGAAGTTGCAACAACTATTGCGAGCAGCATGCACTTGACCATCCTCTTTGTTTTTGGAACAATGGCACACATTATTCGTTTTTTATATTGCTAACTATATTTTATACTGACTTAAGTTAGCGATTGTGAAACTACGTATCAACAAGTCGTTGGTCGTTGGGTTATTTATGTATTGTTCTGTCAAGTTTTTATAAATAAAGTAATTCCTAAGTGATCGTCTAGAGAAGTGAAACGTCATATCTAATGCATAGACCATACCGAACGATCCATTGTATAACCAAACGATATAGTTTAACAATATTTATGATAACAAATCCACGTGTATTTTTGTCAGTTCTATCCCTCAAAAGCTTTTGATTGTATGAATTGTGTGATTGCTGCTGCAAAGAAATGGTCGATGTGGTTTCACAAGTCAGCTTTCAGCAGTTTCGTTGTTGTCCATCATGTAGATCCCGGTTGGTTAAAATTAACAATCCGACATCTGTACTGCGCATTCAGGAGTGTTTTAACTATATATATACGAATGTTAAAATTATTACATGTTACATCGTAAAACAACCTGATGCTGCACAAAATGGTGTGATCAGGTTGTTTTATGATGTAACATGTAATAATTTTAAATTTCTTTCCAAATATTTTTAATCCGTTTTGATGTGTTCCTGATACAGCTGTGTGTATTTTATACTAATTTTAACGAATGTACAACCATGTATCCAGCTTTCACCAGGTTACTAAATGTTTCCCTCAACTTGACCTTTAATGACATTTAGCAACAATCTCACATTCTAGTCTCCTGATGATGATGGCATAGTCCATTGAAAGCTAGAGACTAATAAAGTATAAAGAGTCCTCATTGCTTGAATATTGTCGAAGTACCCAACTAAAGGCGGAAGCTTTATTTTTCCCCTTACTGGTCTAGACGACAATGACCATATATATATATATATATATATATATATATATATATGTATAAAGAGAAAATGATCATGCGGCGAAAGGTATATAGCAAGTAGAAAAATAGGAAAGGAAAGTGGATTCGAGCATATAGGATAGGTAACCCGAGCGATACGTATTTCTGCTGGTTGGCTTCATCAGGCCCGAAATGAATGCACATGTGAAACTACAAGTGGTAGATCATGCCCACACATCCGGATACGGGTGTAACCTGAGGAAACGAAGATGGAGAGGGAAAAAACGACACACGAAATCCACAACAAGAGCCAACCTACACATTGGTATAAAATGGCTAGAAGACCTCGAATTTTCAAGCCGACATCTAATCAGAACCACGCGGCCGGTTATAGCCACTTGCTGTGGTACTTCAAGCCCAAAGGATCCACAAACAAATGATCATGCTGAGAAAGGCGTATAGCAGGTAGAAATATAATGGGTTAAACCGCAAAAAGAAGGATAGTGGATTCGAGCAGAAAATAGGCTATGTAAGCCGAGCGATACGTATTTCTGCTAGTTGGTTTCATCAGGCCCGAAATGAATGCACATATGCAACTACAAAAGTAGATACACATGCCCACACATCCGGATACGGGTGTAACCTGAGGAAACGAGGATTCGAGGTCTTCTACCCATTTCATACTACAATGTGTAGGTTGGCTCTTGTTGTGGTCTTCGTGTGTCTTTTTTTCCCTCTCCATCTTCGTTTATATACAGGGTTATCCAAATTAAGTGTCCACCATTAGTAACTTTGTTATTAGTGAAAATACAAAGTTGTTTGAATTAGCAAACTAGTAGCATTTTTAACGCTGGTAAAAATGAGAAATAAAAAAAAACAATTGAGAGTCGTTATTTTGATTTTTTTCAGTAAAATAACATTTTTTTAAATGGAAACCCCTGTATATTATATTTTTTTCTGTTAAAGCATCAAATTTTAAACAAAAAAGCTTACAATAACTTTTCTTCTAGGTTACAAATTGTTGAAGTTATGGCCTCCAATCTGAAACAATTAAATTGTATCGACAAACTTTATTTTCAACATCAACTTATAATCTTACAAAATACAATAACAATTTTTTTTAAAGAAGATGCTCGAAAACACCACCTTGTTCTTCAATACATTTTTGGGCACGTTTTTCAACTGCTCGAACTGTCTTAAGTATGGTCCTACCATCTATCTGGGTTATCTTTTCCCTAACTGCAGTCTTTAACGCGTCAAGGTTATCGTACCTTCGCTTGTAAATTTGGTTCTTTAAGTAACCCCACAAGAAGTAATCTGGTGATCTGGGAGGCCACTGTATTGGGCCATTTGTTCCTATCCACTGATCATTAAAAGTAGTACTTAGGAAATGATAAGTACCTCTGGAGTTGTGGGCAGGTGCGCCATCTTGCTGAAAATGCAGATGATGTCTACTTATAAGATCCAATTCGTCTAAGAAATTAGTCAGAATTTCTGACATAAATTCCACATATCTTTCACCAGTTAGGGTTCCCTCATAAAAGAACGGGCCAACAATTTTTGAACCAATTATACCGCACCAAACGTTGAAACTGAAACGGACTTGTGGGCCTCTTGGATGTACTAACAAAAGATTTTCTCTTGACCAATAATGGTGGTTTTTTCTATTAAACATTCCAGAATTTGAAAAATTTGATTCATCTGTCCATAAAAGGTAACGAAAGTTATTTACATTTTGGCGACAGAAGCTAAGATACCAATGGCAAAAAACAAGTCTTCTCTCTGGATCCCCTGCCAAAAGCGTTTGAACTGGTCGGTACTTATACGGAATAAATTTGTATTTTTTTAAAATCCTTTGAACAGTACCATAACTGAAATTAGAGTCCTTGAGAATATCTGCTATTGAATTCTCACGATAAGCTTCAAAATATCCAATAACTGCAATTTCCGTGGCCTCGCTTATTATGAATTCTTTTTTTGCCCTTGTTTTAGCAAAAACATTTTCGTTGCCCCTAAATTTTCGATAAAGTCTCAGAAAATATCGTTCATACGGTTGAATGCGAGCGGGATATAATTCACTGTAGTATTCTCTTGCTCTCAAGGAGGATTTTCTGCAGACTAAATAGCATTCTAACATATCACACTTTTCTTCATGGGAGAACATTTTTCTTTAAATTAATGACACAATAAAGCTTATAAACAAGTATTTACACTAATGTTTGACATTATTTGATTTTATCATTGTTTTCCAAAGCCTTCTAGTTGCGAGTATGTCCAGTTTAACAATTTGTCGCTTATCTTAATGCTGTCAAATCGCGAACGCCATGTTGTTTTCACAGCCGTCTTAATATTATAATACTGAAAATAATTAAAAATATTTATCGTTATTTTGACTTTAGCGGAAAAGTCATTATGAACTTTTTTGTTTAAAATTTGATGCTTTAACAGAAAAAAATATAATATACAGGGGTTTCCATTTAAAAAAATGTTATTTTACTGAAAAAAATCAAAATAACGACTCTCAATTGTTTTTTTTATTTCTCATTTTTACTAGCGTTAAAAATGCTACTAGTTTGCTAATTCAAACAACTTTGTATTTTCACTAATAACAAAGTTACTAATGGTGGACACTTAATTTGGATAACCCTGTATATATATATATGTGCATTCATTTTGGGCCTGATGAAGCCAACCAGCAGAAATACGTATCGCTCGGGTTACCTATCCTATTTTCTGCTCGAATCCACTTTCCTTCTTTTTTCGGATTTTGCCCATTATTTTTCTACTTGCTATATATATATATATATATATATATATATATATACAGGGTGTTCCATAATTATTGCGACAAAATGATAGGGGTTGTAGAGGGCATCAAAATGAACAATTTTGCCTTATAAACCCCTGTTCGAAAATATGCCGTTTGGGCTGCAGCAAAAAAAAAAGATCAGTTTCTTGAAACAGCTTACCTACAGTAATTGCTCAAAGTGTCCTCCACCTTGCTCAATACACAGCTGTGCACGATTGTTCAATGATCGGCGAACTCTGTGGCATACCCCCGGTATGTCCTGAACATGTGCGGACGCGGCCATCACTCTTCCCAGTAGCTCTTGTTGGTTGGGAACAGTAGTTTCGTACACTAAAGCTTTCAGATGGCCCCAGAGAAAATAATCCAGTGGGGTCAGATCGGGTGACCGCGCAGGCCAAGGCACAGGGCCACCTCGGCCTATCCACCTATTTGTCGTCCAAATACTGCCGCACTTGTAAAGAAAAGTGGGCTGGAGCGCCATCGTGTTGAAACCACGTGTTGGCTCTTATGTTCAGTGGCACATTTTCTAATAGTTACGGTAGCACATGCTGTAAGAATCGACCATAAGCATGCCCATCCAAACGTGGTGGAAGCAAATATGGCCCGATGATATGCTCGTCCACAATGCCGCACCAGATGTTAATTGAAAACTGATGTTGGTCTCTATGGATGGCTATGGCATGAGGGTTTTCTTCATCCCAAATGTGACTGTTACGGCTATTAAAATAACCGTCCTTTGTGAAACAGGACTCGTCAGTGAACAAAACGTAGCGACCAAAGTTTGGTTGCCTCAACTCCTGCTTCAGCCACCAACGACAAAAACGTCGACGCGGCAGATAGTTTTCTGGACCCATGGCTTGGACTTTTAAAAGGTGGTATGGGTGTAGTTGCTGGTCATGGAGAACCCGCCAAGCAGTAGTTTGAGACGCTCCCATTTCATGTGCAATAGCACGCACGCTTGTACGCGGATTGGCCTCTAGTTTGACGCACCACTCAGATAAATTAAATGAATCGGTGTGGAGAATTTACGATAACAAAAATGTAAACACAGCAGGCTTTTTTTTACAAATCGGCGAGACCATGAAATGTGCTAGACGAACATTTTGCAGCTGTTGAATTTTTTGTTTCTCTTAAGGTAAAATTAGCGGTAGTGCTCAAACGGCATATTTACGAACAGGGGTTTATAAGGCAAAATTGCATATTTTTATGCCCTCTACAACCCCTATCATTTTGTCGCAATAATTATGGAACACCCTGTATATAACGTATTAGCTACAATCAATATTTAAGGAAGTTTCATTATATTTGCAGATCATACCACCAGTTTGTAACATGGAAGAGACATTCCAAACCTAAAAGAAACTCTTGGATTACAAATTGATCACAAGTAGAAATTGAGTAATCACATAACAGCACTAAGTACAAGGCGAGCACCTGGTTGCTTTGTTCGAATTGAATCGCTCATTGCAAAAAGCTCATAAGTCTATTGTTTACCCACATAATTTCCTTTGCTGAAAACGCTTTTTTAATATGCTGCAATATTATTAATTTATCATTATTAGTATAATTAATATTCACATTAAAAAACAGCAATCTAGAA